CAGCAGCAGCAGCAGCAGCAGACGACCCGGCGCCTGCAGAGCACCCAGCGCAGCAGCGCCCAGCGCAGCAGCGGCAGCAGCAGCACCAGCAGCAGCAGCACCAGCAGCAGACCACCGGAAGCCCGGCTAGCTTTCGTTCACCCCCTCTGGCCTCAAGTTCTTTTTATGAGAGGTTCTTCCCTACGACACGGCTTGTGGAAGGTCAGACGCAGGACATTGTTTATAGTTAACAATGGGACGTGACCCATGCGGCGAACTCTAGCAATCTCGGGCGTCTCATGTTCTTCAAGCGCTGTTAGAAACGGGACCCCTCCCTATACTCTTGGACATCGAACGGGTTTTCTTACACGAGGCTTAGCAGTATATCACGGACACCACATGCATGATTGTAGCCAGGCCAGTAAGCATGGGTTCTCCTGAGTGAGTTCGTTCTACTGAAACCTACTGGAACCTCTACAGTCTACACCTTCCTTTCAGAAATTTCTAAGGCCTGAGCCGCGGAGTGTCAAACCCTTTCAGCCTACACGCCTAAACACGATCTTTCTCTGATCAGCTCTAAGCGAAGCGAACAGCGCTGTTCGCGTTCGCTGGCGCGAAAGAAAACAGTCAGGACCGTGCGGTGCAGATCATTGCACTACCAGCAGTGTTTGGGTGCATGGCGATGAATGCGGCTTGGGCGAGCAAGCCGGGTTGGAGAAGGGGCAGTTTTGGGAGGCTTGACAAGGTCAAGGCGTCGACCAAGGCAGCAGCCAGGCTTCTTCAGCAGAGATAATCGTGTTCTTTGAGGAAAGTAGTCAAGCATGTCAATGGACAGAAGTGTCTCGAATGGAAACGGACGGGCTGGTTGAAGAGTTTGTCCCAAGCCAGTGCATACTAAATTACTTGTAGCGGCCATAGGGAGCCTTCAGAGCTAGTGATTGGGCGACCAAGACTCTCCTCTTCGGTGACGTGTCCAGCGAGTTGATGCTGAGAACCGTGTCCGGGACATTGGTGAATCTCCAAAGCATCCCGCTCGAGTGGTGCACAATCTCTGCAGTGGACCGCGAACAAGACATCTTCCGAAGATGAAGACATGGTAGCCGCAGATCTTCTAAGACTTAGGGAAAGTGGGCCTTTGTGAAGTTGATTTTCGCATGCGACGGCTTGGACTGTGCGCTTCCCACGCGGGGCTTGGCGTTGCACCTTGTCAAGGTTGTCGAGTGGCTTGCGAACGCATCTCGTGCACTGTTTGTGCACTTGCAACGCAGCAGGCTAGTCAGAAATTGAGCTCAATGCAGGCGTGCACTTCGCTGGCTCAAGCCCGGCCAAAGGACTTAACCACAAATCTTCAAGAAGGGAAAAGAGTCCCAAGGACGAGAGGCTCCAGTTGTCCATCCTTCTTCCACCTGGTCATGTTCCATAGCTGCCAAACTGGCAACGGGGGCCGGTCGATGTCCAGAAAGATGAGCGCCAACGATGCAGCCGAGCTACCCTCCCACACAGTAACGCGGAAGTGAAACTGGCCCCTGGAACTACAACATACTACAACCATTTTTGCCTAGAATCTGGTTTTACCAGCTTGATGTTGGTGAGTCGTAGTGTACCCCTTGTGTCTTGTGTCCTTCGCGAAGGAAGCACCACAAAATACAAGATACAACTTGACTGTCACCGTTCACTTGGCTGCTGACAGGTTTCTTGCGTTCGCATGGAACGAAGGCTTTTGGAGGCTGTGTTTTTGGTTTGAACAATTTCTACTGTTTAGGGGCACGGTGTCAGCTCACCAACCACAATCCCTGCCATGGCCATAGCCTTATCATAGCCAGTTGAGGCTTTGACAAAGATGTTTGAAGGCGCTGCCCAGTTCAACGTCGAGGCTGGGTCCGGGCATGTCCACGCTTCAGTGCATTCTCCCACACGGCATGTGTGGGCCTTAAGGTGGTGTATGGCCACCAAGTTGGGGAGAATCAATGGCTGAAGGGGACATGCCTTCGAGGTGGATTTGTTTAGCACGCAGTGACCCTGGCCCCCCCTGGCCAAGTTTCATCATGTTTGATGGGGTTTGAGACGAGTGCGACACCGGATCTCATGTTGAAAGCAGCAAACTCACAACCCCTCGCGTGATTCGCGCCGCCAGGAGCGCCTGGGTGTGGAATTGCTGTCGCTGCATCGACCGGCGAACCACACCGACGAGCGACTCAGACGGAAAAACATAAACCTATAGACCAACACCACCCAAGGGTTGGTTTATAGACCTCCCCCTGTCTATCTATTTTCCATCTAATAACCACTCTTTGGGTGGTGCTGATCGATAGACATCTGACCTTCAAAGGGGTGTGCAATGGGGCTGAACGTCAGGGCTGAATTGGATTCAAGGTCTTCCGTCGCTTTTCTTTCATGTTTTTTGAAAGAATTGAAAGGAAACCCTTCGTACTTGGGGTCTTTTTTCGGTGGAGCCGATCATTTTGCGGGGTTTGTTTCGGCAGATGCCTCTCGAGGCTAGCTAGCTGGTGTCCAAAATGGAACGCCTGAGGTGCTGGACGTAGTGTGGTTGTGGTTTCGAAGGCTTAGTCGTTGTGGGTTCAGACGTACATGCACATGGGCTTTCGAGAGATTGTTGGAAGGTCTTCTTTGATTTGAACCGAGACATTGTCAAGCAGAGAGTCTATACGGGTGTGTATTAAACATAGGGAGACCTTTGGAAGGATCAAAAAAGAACAACAGCCATTGGTTGGTGGTCTCCCTATTCACATGCACCCCCATATCGGCCCATATAGATGTACACCGCACTTTGCAAAGGAGCGAGACGCTAAGGACGTGTGTCTTGTACCACAGCGGTCGGCGCTTTTGGCGCCCCTCGTTCAGCGAGCGAGCTCGGCGTCCGAGGAACGCGACCCAGTTCTACTTGGCTCAGGTCGAGACCTGCTACCAGGCGGTCGCCGCCGAGCCGCCGAGCCGCCTCGCTCGGTTCGACGGGCTCCCGGTCAGGGCGCCGAGCCCGCCTGACCGGCGGCGCCTTCGATCGCCTTCAAGGGGTGTGAAGAAGAAGAAGAAGAAGCAGAGTCCGGTCAAGTCGCGGTTCCGCAGTGATTCCGTGTGTTTCACACACATGCAAGCAGCTTATGCCCGTATTTGCTGATTCAAGCTCCATCGATTCCGTGTGTTTCTCTTGGAAAAGGCTGGAGGTCGGAACTCCCAAGGATGTTGAACGAGAGGGGTTTGCCATCCGACCGGACGGTCCAGATTGGACGGCCCAGGTGGGTGATTTGTACGAGGCCTGGGCGTGACTTGGATGTGGCGCCCCAACCCGGTGTGGAAATTGAAGAGGGAGACGGAAATCTCGCCCCCCTGGGTAGACTGTTGGTGTTTTCTTTATTTTTTCCCCTGGGTAGACTGTTGGTGTTTTCTTTGTTTTTTTCTTCCAACCTTGCAGGGTGGGTTGGAATGCCTGGGAGGTCTCCCTATTTTTCTTGTCACGTGGCAACAAGAACTCGATACAAGGACTCGCAGGTTCGGGATAACTGGTGACTACTGTCCTTCCAACGGAAGTGGATGGCATGGCTTCGGGGAAGACGAAGACTATCGAATACCAAACAGGGGGATTTCACTCACTCCACTTCCATGTTCGTTGGAGGGACGGGTACTTTCCATTACTTTCCTTTCACTTGGCGGGTGACTGGGGTGGTATTTGTTGAACACGACATGTACACCTGCGGTGTGTGAATGGACTTGAAATCTCGGTGGTTTAAGGCAAACTACAATCCTGGCCGAAAGCTGATGTCCTGCAAAAAAGCAACCCGTTTGAGGTAATTATAGGCCCATGATCGGCTGCTCACCGGTCTGGTGTTTGTTTTGGGCTTCTGGAGCTTTTAGGGGGCATGGCTTTCGGTGGATGGCCGCCAAAGCTATGACTATGATGGTCAAGGGGAGTTACAAGGGGGATTCTCCCTGCACAATTCTCTTTCAGGTTCATGCATGGTCAACAAGGAAGGACACCGGCTTCGGGTATTGTAGGGCTCAGAACATGCCAAGACCCGACTTCAGACATCCTTGTTTCATAGCCACCAAGTTGAGTCTTTTATAGTCTTTTTTGTTTTTTCCTGGTCACATTGAGGTTGTATCAGTTCTGCAAGATGACCCTGGAAATTCTCAAGAGCTGTTTGGAGAAGATGGCCAAGGAGCTGCATGCTTCCTGCGGCTCGAGTCCACATTCTGTTCAACGTCCTTCGTCTTGGGTTTCCTGACAAACGTCATTTCTCGATGAACGCGTCCTTCGCCGCAGCCGAAAAGCGTCCTTCTCTCATGTTCACTCGGCGACTTGAACTCCGTCCACAAGCCGCTGAACTGCAGGGTCGATGAAAAAGTGAAAGCCTCCGGTTCGGAGACAGCTCCAGATCCAACTCGACAGGAGCATGTCATGATGTTTGCTTTCTGACTCAGAAATCGTTCGGGATTTGGAGCCTCTGGAGATAAGGACTTCGACCTCACAGCTAACCTGGTAAGGAAGAAAGACCTCCAAGGATTCCCCTTTTGCAGCTTGGCCGATGTTCCTCTCGGCTCCCTTCCGCCAAGATCTTCCCGTTCCCCTCGCTCGTGGTGCCAGCGACGTCCGACCACGTTCTCCTCGCAGGAGCAGGTCCAGGATGAGCGGCGGAGCGTGGCGTCGGGGCTGCTGGTGGCGCACAAGTCTTTGGCTGACATTGCTTACACTGGCGACCCTCGGCCGGAACCACGGAGGACCTGGCTAAAAGGCCTAGTGGGAGGGGTCACAAGTTGGGTGAAGACCATGTAAGTTTAAATGGATTCAAAGTGGACCGAAGATTAGTTTGGCGAGTTCAGTATATTCGTAGTCTTGGTCCAGTTCAGGAGGAAAAGGCTTCACGAAAGGCTTCACAAGAATTTGAGGCCTCGGTTGTGGAAACGTGGAAGTTCGAAGTTCAGCGCTTGCCACCACATTCCATCCACCTTCCTCCACGTGCTTCCTCCGTCCAGTTGGTGAGGTCTTCATGTTTCTGGTGGTGTGTTGCGCGGAAGCCAGCTGGTCCTTGTACCTGCTCACCTTCACGAACCCGGAGGCCGGGGTGGGACGAGAGATTGGAGAGATTGGAGGTTCTCACGTCGACATCGACACCGCCAATGTGCCGCTGTTTTTTTGACTCAAAGGCGCCGATCTCTCGGGAAGTGGACCGTTTGATGAACGCTTGTCCTTCAATTTCTAGCTGATGAGAAGTAGACCGCCAGGCCAAGAGCAGGGGGCCCCAGATCCAAGAAGGGGCCCAGATGTGACCAGGCTGTTACCAAAGGCTTGAACAGTAAATGAAACCGAATTCGACAGAAGAAGTAGGGATCCGACTCACTTTTGAACAGTTGGACAGTGAAAGAACGGTTCTGAACCGAAGAACTTCTCTCTTTGCTCTGCGAAGTGACCAGTCACAGAGTTGGGGTCGATTCGCGATTTCGGTCCTGTCGATCCAGTCGAGTCACCGTCGACCCCCCGTCGCCCCCCGTCTAGTCACAGTCGTTTCGAATCGCTCCGTCCGCACGCTTCGAGTCGTCGCCCCAGTCGAGAGGAGAATTGGGGAGCTTACAACAGCCAGATGGGCCCCTTGGAGATGATGCGAATCACACCACGCCGCGTGTACCGCGTGTCCGCGTGTCGCGTCTTGGTGTTCGGTGGTATTTGGGTTGTTCGCCGGCGCGCCGAGTGGCGATCCTTCGAAACTGTCAAAACGTGGTGTTGTGACCAGTCGTGTTGTGAGCATTCGTGTGATGAAGAAACATCCAGTGCCAAGCAAAATAGGTGTTTTTTCTTTCTTTCTTCCTCTTCTTCCTTCAAGGCACCCCGTCCTTTTGGAGATCTCCCCGATTCGCGCTCCTCCTTCGCCTCTGGTGAACAACGCAGCTCTACCCCCCCACAGCGCAAGCTCTACCGCGCTGTGCGCTCGTTTTTTCGCGCCGGTGGAGACCGCGCGCCCGCCGCGAACGAACGCAGCGGCGAGGGAAGTTCCAAGCAGCGGGTTTGGTGACTTCCATGGCAGCGATCTACAACCTCAACACGGCCCGGCCCGGGACGTCGGACGTCGGACGTCGGACCCTCGAGGGTCGACTATATGAAACGAATGGCGAGGGAGACGGGCTGGGAGACGGCCTTCATGGGGGGTTTGGGTTCGGAACGGTTAGATGACACGGATTCTTTATTGAACCTATAGAGACGAAGGGTTTGAGTTGGGAAGGAGCCGGTCTCGGCCGTCTTGGTCGCGTGTGATGGACTGACGAGAGAGGGCGATCACGGCGAAAAGGGCGTGGTGACTCACCGGGCAGGTCGAGATGGAATTCCACGACTACTTTGAAAGCGTCTTGGTTTCACAGCCGCGCGGATTCACCGGTTCCCTCTCCGTGCGTTCGCGGGGTGGCGGCGGGTGGCGGCGAGCGTGTGACGGTGTGTCTGTGTATGTCGTAGAACGGGCTCAAGTTAAAAGCCTTGCAAGAGGGCCCGGGACAAATGATTTTTGGACTATTATTCATAGATACAATGCAACAAGCACATGGTCCTTGCTTAGGCTTTCCACATTTTAAGAGTTTCTTCTTCCATGGACCGTTTCCTTCCCGGCAAATGCCATAAGAACGAGTTCTGGCATGCGCAGAATTCCGCGCTTGGTGAAGGTCAATGCAGTGCCGGGCGAGGAAAACTGATTGAACTCCTTTGCTTAACACGCCAACGACTTCAGACCTCGTCCTCGTCCTCACGTCGTCCGGAGGTTCAGAGTGGTGGGTGGTTTTCAGGCTTTACGCCGTTGCTGAAGTTCTTGACGGTGAAGATCTTGCTGTCCTTGGCCTACTTTCAGAAGGCCGGTTTCTTCGGGGAGAGGTCCGACCAGTCTCTGACCAGTCTCTGACCAGTCCACCATGCAACGAACAGAAGATACCGCGGTCTGTGGATGCGATTTTTCAGGACAACAGGGATGGACGAGACCGATGGGTATGGACGCCTCCAAACTCACATGGACCCTGACAGTAGCTCCTTGGAAGATGCTTTTCTTCTACCAGTCCAGTGGTTTTCAGGGTCCATGTTCGTCCAAACCAGGCTTTTCCAGGGAAAAGCCACCTGGTTCTTCCGCTCTTCTCCGTTCATCTCGACTCTCGGGGGGTTCGGAACATGACCCGAAGTCGAAGGTGGACGAGTTGGCCATGACCCGAGTTCGGAGTGCGTGGTCCACATGTCCCCTACAAGTCCAGCCGGACCAAGTTTAAACCGGAAAACCTCATTGCAGTACTGGTTTTGCATCACCGGACCCGGTGAAGGTCCGTAAGACCTGAGAATCGGTCCTGCTGTCGCCATGGTTACCGTGATTTTGGGTGTCCCAAAGGGTTCCGCTGTGATGCACGGACAGCAACAGAGTGCGGTTTTCAACCGAAAAGGCACTGAGCAATTTGTGGACAAGCTGGAGGAGCAACGTAGAGGCAAGACCATCCGTGTGATGAAGAACCAACATCTGGATCATGCTCGTTATTTACACCCTAGGGATCCAACGTACCGTACCTGAGAAACGGTGCTTGGAGACACTATATATGTAGCTACCAGGAGGGTCCAGTCCTTCGGCTCCCGGCCACGGATCCCCCAACGGGAGCATCGGCGACCGAGCAGAGACTCTCGGCCCAGCACCGGGGTCGAGCCGTCTTGGATGTGTTGGTGGCAGTTGCTCCAAAGAGGGCGACTTCTTGGGGGAGATGTCGTTGTTGCGAGCTTTGGTTTGTGCTAAGCATCGCAACAACCATTCGAAGATATCACATATTCTTTCCCACATGATTCCTCCTCGTGAAAAAGAAGACCCCCCAAAATATATACCCAATCCATCCCAATCCTATAGGCCGGTGTTGCATGGCCATCTCCATGTCCCTCTGCATCTTCGACCGCCTCCCCACAGGGCTGCGTCTACGTGCTACAGACGGTGAACCGCTCGCTGCCCAACCTGCTGCAGTCGGTGATTGCCGCGGTGCCCTTCGTTAAGGAGCTCGTGAGCAGCGTGGCGAAAAAAATCCACGGATGCGTTTTGGGGGGCGAAGGTTGGGTTGGTTTTGGGTGAATGGCGAGTGGAACAGTGATTGGAGAGGGACGACTCTGGAGGTATTTCGGGAACCAGAGACACCTAAGGACCTCTCGCCGTCGACCTTCCCAGAGAAATTTCAGAGATGGCGAGTTGACCATAGGGCCTTAGGCCCTATATAGTCAGTTCGGCACATGGCGAAGACTTTCCAAGAGTGATGATGAATGTGTTACACCCAGGACCTTCCCAGCGACCGTCCTTGAAATCCCAGTGGCGGGTCGGTCACGAAGTAAGGCCTTGATTTCAGGTCACGGTTCTACCAATCCTGAAGAGGTCGCTGGAAAGGTCCTGGACTCTTACACTCCCTGGAAAGGAGGCCGGTCGCAGATCCAGATTCGGCCAGAGGACATCACCCTCCAGTCCAAAGCTCGTCTTCCAAACCATCTCCGACAGGACCGGGGGAAATGATGCGTTTTTTTCGCCACGACTGAGGCATGGGTGATACTGAGCTGCTTGCTGGTTGTGGTGTGGATGAGGGGGCCGTCTTCCGTCCCTCTGAAGTCGGCGCCTAAAGTTGTCCAAAATGTACGGCGTCTCCAAAAAAGTCAGCAGGTAGGCCTCAAGGTGCAAAGCGAATTGAATACCCACACAATATCACAAGAGCCTGTGGAGACAGAGTGAAGAGGCACTTCCATGTGAATCTTTTCTGATCTGGGTCATGGAAATCAACTGCATCGAACATGGACGGAGATGCCAATTGGGAGATGAAATCCGGTTTGCTATGAGGATGTGAGTTGTGCCTGATCATTTCTGGATCGTGAGTGCAGCAGTGTCCCTTATCAGCTGAGAGGCATTCGAACAGCAGATCCCAAGCAGTTCATTTGGGCAAAAAGGACGATATTTCCATGTATTTCCCAGAGCTGATAGTCTTTTTGGTTGCATCAAGTATCATCACTTCTTTTTCAGCAAAAACTGCAAGTATGAGGTATTTTTTTGAATGACAGTGACAGAAGACAAGGAGGGAGCTTCAACGTCCCGTTCCGTTCGGCGACCCTCCTTTTGGGTTTCGGTCCCGCGAATCGCGCCGGGACTTCGGGAATGGACGAGGGTTTGGACGAGGTTCTACCTCTTCTATTCCTCTCTGATCCTCTACGAGTGCGTCTTGGGCGTCTTCTTTCATTGGTTTGGTCCGGCCCCCAACGACGGGCGGGGCGGCCCTTTTTTCTCGTTTTGGAAGAAGGAGAAGGAGCGAGCGAAACTGGCGTAAGGGGAGCGGTTCTTTTCTTTTTGTTCGGAAGACTTTGCCGAATTGCATTTTGGATTTCAGGGGCCAGTGGGGAATCATTTGAAGACACGCCTTGGTTGGCAAGTTGGGGCTTCAATGCAAGGAGGATAGTATTCGCTTTAAGTATCCCTGGTTGGGTAGGAGATGCCTTGCACGAAAAGGAAGACCTCTTTGATTTCTCCTTGGGATTCCAGTTTCCAGTGAGTCACCGTCGAATCTTCCCTCAGTGGACCATGTCAAATTCTGACTGGAATCCGCGAAGGCCAACTGACATCTGAACATGTCCAATTCATTTTTTCGCTGGCCGGGCCGAATTTTTGGACTTCAGGATTGTCTTCTTGCTGGATTCGTCCAACTCTCCCTGCTTCTCCAACTTCCCAGACCGGGATCCCTTAGACCGGGATCCCCTCCTCCCATCTCGCCAGCTTGGCCGTCGGACGAGCAGTTCTACGGCTTCGAGCTCGAAGGCGCGGCATGTCCTTCGCCCAGCACCCCACCCCCGGTCGCGGCGGAAGCCTTTCTTTCGCGGGGGCAGACGGTTTTTGGCGTTTTCCGCCGTCGGCGAACGCCACGGGGGCCGCCGGTTTTGGGCGTGGCACTGCTTACTAAGTCCGGGTAAGGAGTGGAGGGGGTTGACGGGGTGAGCTTGAGGCGTCGTTGGGGTCAACAGGTCCGCTCCGCACCGCTCTTTCCGCGTCGACGGCGGAACCCACGTAGCAGGTTGAACAGGTGGGACCCTCCTGGGGTGTCCTCCCTTCCGGCTGTGAGATGCTGGAATCCTGGAACCCTCCGAAAAAACATGAAAAAGTCGCTCCCAGGCAGTTCCGGAACCCTGATTTCGGTGGTCAAGCCACGCCACCGACAGCTCACACACCGCTCCCCCGCTGGGATAGGCACCGAGGCCGAAAAAGCGCCCCTCCTCGAGAAGGCCGACCGTTGGGGGCGGAGACGGATGTCCAGATGTTTGACGAGGGAGATGTCCAGGACGGGTGGCCAACATGGGGGAGTCTCAAAACGTGCGAAAAAGCACATCGATGGCGCTAATGACTTCATCGTGGTACGTCTTTTGATTGGGAAGGGGCCAGTCCAGTCTACGGAGAAGCCGAAAAACCAGCGAGAACTTGGGGAAGTCTTTTCGGCCCCCCGGCCAAGGGTATCAGTATGCTCCTGGCATGATTTTGGTTTGCACCATCTCTTACGTTCGCTTCTGCGAACACCTTTTTGTGGCTCTTCCATGAATCAACACATGAGCATGGCCGCCATGGCCCATCAATAACCCCAATCGTGGCTGCATTTCGATTTCGGCTGTTCACCAGAGCCAGCTTGCGACCCCCCAACACATCGGACCCCACAGCACCGTGGTCTAAAAGCGGACTCCCAAACCAGTGACCCACACCCACGCCAGTACGCCCAACTTGAGTGTTTCGACCTGGACGGACCGAGGGACCGAGGGACCGATGTGCGATCCGGACGGATGGTCGGGTTGACGGTGCACGACCGATGGTCTCGCTCAAGGCAATGTCCGCTCCGAGCGTGCGACGGTTCATAGGTCCGGTGAGTCGAGTCGCTTCAATTCCTCCGCTGATTCGTGACCAAAGCAGTTGGAAAAAACCATGAACAAACCATCCCAAAAACGACAAAATCGATTCTACTACATACGTTTTGGGACACGTAGTCTGGTTCGAAAAATTTTGGGCTGTGCTTTCGTTGGAAAGGAAGGTGCCTTTTCAAAGGTTCCAAACACGCCAAACAACTCGAGCCTTTAACCTTTCAGCTGCTGAGCCGCGCTGTGCTTTTCATCTTCAGAACTCGAGTCGAAAAAGCCGCCAGGCCTGAGTGGCCAGCCTTGCTGCAGACACCAGACATCCGAAAAAAGGGGAGGATTGGTGAGAGACCTTGGGCTGGATGGGTTTGGAACATGGAGACTTCACCTTGTCCATGAAGACTGACTTCCCTTGCGTTCGCGCCATGCGTAGGTTGGCCATGAGGTTCCTCACGTCCAACATCCAATAGGAACAAAGCACTTCAAGCAGTCGAATGAGCTGCAACCAACATCACTTATTGCACCTACACACCCCTCTTGGCCACGCCCGGCGGCTCCGACCCCCGTCTTCGCTGCTTCCCCGCCCGTTCGTTGGAACAGCTGGCTCGGCTCGCGGCGTCTGAAAACCCTGCAGACGCGCCAGGCGTCCGCAAGGGCCGCGTGGTGGGAGGAACGACCCAAGTCTCTCGAGGTATGCAGTTCTGGTGCTTGTCTTGATCTCGTTTTTTTTATTTTTTTCGTGGCAGACACTCTGAGCATCTTTTAGTCCAAGACACAGGATCCCCTACGGGCTCCCGTACGGGCTCCAGTCGTGCCTTCTAATAAGCAGGTGTTTGAGGTGGGTGCCAGGAGGGTCCAGTCAGACCGAACCTGAGGAGGTAACCTCCTGGAGCCCTATAGGGTATTGCCGGTGAAAGACCCGTTTGCAGTTGTCATGCCACCATTCGTGCCCGCTCCCTAGGGTATTCGGTTCCTTCCCCAAACTACAAGACTTTTGTTAGAAGATTTCAAGCAAAAGTTGACTTCTATTTTGAGATTTCACATCAGTATCAGATATTCAGAACAAACGCTTCGTCAGTGCTTTCCACCCAGCTATAGGGGGGAAGTATGAGTAATTGCTGTACTTCTTGTCGAGCTGTCTGAGGATCACGACCGTTCCTGAAAGCACCGGCATTCTGTGGTTCACAGGACTTCCTTGCTTTTGACTCATGCCAGTACCTTAGAAAAGGAACATCACTACCCGTGTCCCTACACTACAGCGTGAACGGGATCTCCCTTGCACACCTGAAGCGGAATGAATGTCCAACTGGGCAGGTCATGTCAACTCGATCTTTCGCTTCAACCCCCGCAAGCTTGAAGAGGGGGTATAAATACTCCATGTCTTGGGGCCCCAGGGCTTTTTGATTCATCAAGAGTCTATAGCAGGACCTTCCAGTTCGAACTGGTCACCCTTTGCACCCTTTTCACCCTTGCACTCGGTTGGTCACCCAACACCTTTCGAACGGGCTCCTACTGCCCGACCCCGTCGTTGGGGTTCGCACCGATCGCGCACACGAAGAACTTCCAGGCCATCCATCTGCGCCGATCCCCGACGTTTCTCTCGGACCAATCGGTGGACGGTGAATGAGGTGGCGTTGGTGGAGCGCCTCGGCGAGCGCCTCGTGCGCGGTGTGCGCGTGCGGGTACGGGGTGCGGTGTGTGCGTGGTTTGCACAGCTTTGGTCATTCGGAGCCTTGTGGAAACTCCTCCGGAATTTCTCAAAACTACTTGTTCGAGGCATTTTCCTTTTCTGGTAGGAGAAACACAGTGCGGACCCAGAGTCTTGATGACATGCAGTTTTTGCGATATTCCTTGCGTGGTAGCTTGTTTTCCTTTGGTTCCTTGGAGGGAGTTTCCGCCCTTTTCGCTTCCAGCCCCGTCCGCCCGACCAGACCGAGGTCTTTGGCTCCTTCGCACTGCCTCGGCCCTCGCCGATGAGCCTCGGAGAGAGAGAGAGAGAGCTGGCTCCACCGGGGTTTCCACGAGGCGAAAGGGCCGCACCTATTGGCGCCAGCTTTCGGAGGCTTCATGAGTTTGAATTCTTTGACTGAAGGGCCTAGCTCATCTATAGGGTCTCCGTTTTTGAGAGACGCAGATAGACCGCGGTATTTTGTTTTTTTTGTGCAGATCACGTTGCGAAAGGGCTTCAAAGTACGAAGGATCAAAGACACCAACTCCCAGGTCGTCCGACCGTACGACTGCTGGTCCGACCAAAAAAACCGCTTGAAACTGCCGCAAGGGCCTCCCGCGGACGTTGGGCTCAACTGGGAGGGAAAGAAATCCTGCGCAGATGGAAGAGGGTCCCTTTCTGCCCATCTAACTAGGATGGGATCACGTGCATGTGCTAAAGATGGTGAAAAAGAGGGCCCATAGAATTCTAGCAGAGCGGATTTGCCAGTGTTGGCCACCTTGAGACTGCAGGATCTCTTCCTTCAATACTTCAATACCCTCCAATACCCTGCACGGAATTCCTGGGGCGGCCTATAACTTGCCGCCTCCCAATTCGGACCTCTCGTCGTCGCAACTCGTTCACCGGAGCGATTGCACGGGCAAGAGGACCGGTGAACGTCGTGAGGTTCGTTTTCGCCACGTTTTCGCCCACGATTTCAAGACCCCCAGATGGCGGAACGCCTTGGGCAGCGAGTGTGCTTGATCGGAATGTCCTGGATTTTTAACTACTTGGCAGATTACTTGTGGGTTCCATCTGTGGCATATGCGAATGATCATGGTCTTGGAGTGGAGTTCTTGGCCCAGGCGCCTTCACGACGAAGAGCGGTTGTGATTTCAACCGCGCGTCATCGATCGATGGCGTGGTGGTTGGTCGAAAGCATCGATTTGGCGTTCTGAGTGAAGTTGGAAGTGAAGTTGGAAGTGAAGTTGGGGTGTGTCCCAGGTTGACCTGCAACAGGAAGCTGCAACCTAGGCATCATCATATAGACATATATATATATAATATATATATATAGACCTTAGCCCTAGCTTTCATAGACCATGAAAACAATGGTTGACCTGGGTTTTGTCGTGTAACGTCCATAAAACAGCTCGGTTCTTGGGGATGAAAAGACCATTGAATCAATGCTTGGCCGCGGTGATGGGCCGGTGGAGGATCCGCACCCGTTGGATGGGGCGGGGTGGATGGGATGGGTGGATCTCAACTGGTCAGTTTCGGAAGCGGATCGGATCTCAACTGGTCAGTTGCAGCTATAGTTGCATATGAGTTGCACATCCAGAAACAGGAACAGCATGATCCCGATGATCCCTTTCTGTGATTTCTTCACGGCCCCCTTCGATCATCCAATCCTCTCAGTTTTTGGGTCGAACTCATCACCCATACATCTTGCGGGCCTGTCTTGACAGGTCTATGCCTTGAACCTGGGCGCCCGATTTCTGCCCAATCTGCTCATCACCCAATGGGGATCGCAGATTGAGTACTGGATGATGGCCTTCGTGAGCTTCGGCTATGCCATCTCCTTCCTGCATCCCACCCAAGTTTGGGCCTTTGATCTCATGGCGCTTTCTTCGGGCATGGGCTTTGTCCGAGCATGCCTGACGGTTCATGTGCAAGCCTGCTTTCAAGATAATCCTGAAATGTTCACCACCATCTCCAAGCATTGTGGCGCTGCGCGAAACTGTGGCAGATTCTTGGACGAAAAGGATCACTCGGAAGATTTCCCCTCCAACCCACCTGGGCAGACCAAACATCAAGACTTTGATTTCTAGTAACAAAGATAACAAAGGGCATCGCTACTAGGAGCAAAAAGCTACTAGTAGCTCCTGGCATTACTACTAGTAGCAAGGACGCTACTAGTAGCAAGAAGCTACTAGGTGGAGGCCATCGCTATTGGGTTGGAGGCCATTACTAGTAGCGACCGGACGCTACGCACGTAGCGTCCGGTGCCTTTGATTCTCAAGGTATTGCGGCGATGATTGTGCCGGCGTTGCTCTACCAGCACTTTGGGTGGAAGGCCGTCTGTTGCGGAGCCGCCGCCGCGGCACTGCTCTACATCTTGCTCTCCTGCCTGGTAAGGCGTTTGGAGTCCCCAGCATCGCGGGAGGCCGTGTCGGAGTTCGAACCTCATGTGGAGGGAACTTGCACGGACATCTCGTGGATTGATTCTGGGCCCAACAAGGAAGTACCCAGACTTTTGGGGAACGGAAGACCAAGCAAAAACATAAGTGATCCCCTAAACAGGATCTAGCTTCTCGGGCAAACCCAGGATTTCAAGCTTTCTTTCAGGTGTATACTCAGTAAGTTAAGGTGCGGTGTTCGAGGGATCCCGACCCCAGGAGAAGATCCTCTTCATGCTGCGGCCTGAACATTGGCTCAGTCATTACATAGTCCTAATCATCACTGTACATTCCCAAGTTGCTTTGTCAGACCTACGACCCCCGCACAGAGCAACCGCTTCCATCCATCTTCCAAACGTTCAAAGCCCAAAAGCCAACCGCTCCAACCGCTCGAGGATTGGATGGTTGGATCAGCCTTCATCGTCACAGAGTTGCAGTACAACATCGGCAATGCGGCCATCCCACAGACATTGACCTCGACCTTCATCATGTCCGTAGGCGCGGTCGGCCCGACCTTGGGAAGCTTCAATGCGACGTCGATGATCTTCTTGGCCTTGCTACCGACGATCCCATGGGTTTTACTGCATCGGAGTCCTTTGAACATTTTGATGTCGTTCTTCTTGGTGGCCCAGCCGTGCTTGGCATCCGGCTTTTCTGGGAACTCTTTCCCACCCAAAAGACGACAGGAGTCGGTTTGGATCTCTGTAAGTAGCTACGACTCCAAAGATAGATTTAGAGATTCCTGATCCATGTGAGGTCTTAGTCTCAGGGCTCTTGGCCGCCTTCTCAGCGCTCGCGCCGGATCACGGACTGCCCCTCTTCATCACCAGTATCCTCTCCTTCACGCTGGCCATCAACATGGCACAGGTCCTCATGCTGGAATACTTGTCCGGCGTACTGGACACCAAAGGCTGGAGAGCCGAGTGTCTTCCCGAGACCCGTCGTGCCCAAAATTGACCTCTCAAAAGAAAGACACTGCGCACGAGTTCTTCACAGTCTTCACTCCACAAAATGATTTGGACACCACACCCAGGAGTCACAAAGGGGTGGTGTTTGGTCCCCAAGTGAGTGGATGTTCTGGGCGCCCCGACTTCCTCCATGGATCGCACCCCGTCTTGTGACGGCTGGACCCCAGATCTCTTTGCAGGGTTTGGTTGACTCCACAGCCTCTGACCTTCGGTTTTTTCAGGAGTGGAGAAGCTCATGGGCGTTTCCGAGACTTTTGGTTGCGGCTTCGCGATGCTGGGTGGCTACGTGGGTGAAGAACTGAAGGCCCGGGGGGGTTCGTGTTTCGACCTCGGCGAGCGGCAAGCTGCGCGCGCGGCACGCGGGAGAGTGGGGAGAGTGTCGCAAGTTCTGGAAGTAGAGAGCGATTGATGTCGACATCTGACAGAAACAAGATCACTCAGGAGGACAAATTTCCATCATTCTTTCTGCCATCTGATCAGGAAAATCCGTCCAGGTTTCTTGATGTTTCTTGACCGTTTGGTCCGGTCCAGCTCCATCATCTGAATCTGGATGGGACGTGGCAGGTTTTTGGATCCTCAGCTCCCTTTCTGATGCAATGCTTCGTGGCCCTGGTGACCGTCACCACCCTGGGCGCCTCTTTCGCCCACCGCCACGTCACCAGAGACTTGGACGTGGGTTGCAGAGCGGTTGGCAGAGAGGGTGCTGCTGGTATACCACCATCCAAGGCTCTCATGGGGGTGTTCAATGGAGATCTAGAAGTAGGCGTGTGGTATGCAAAAAAAAGGAGACCCTTGAACGAAAGGTGCTGGTATGTCGCCTTTCTTTTTCGAGCGACCAGCTGCTACGCCCCGTCGCAGCTGCGAGAAGTATCTTACCTCGTTGCAGCGGCCGCGCTTGCGCGCGGCGACCAGGTCGCTGAACTCACCCCGTTCCGCCCCGTTCCGCGCAAGCGCCGGCCGTTGGCGGGCGAACTTCGCCTCGCAAGAAACACCTGAATGGGGCCATTCGACCCTCCAGAAGTATTTCCAAGCCTCCCAAATTGGCCCCAAAAGCTGTGGACATCTGCACATAAGGAGAGGACTTGGATGCAGAGGCGGGTGCGGCGGGCGCAGTGCGGCCGGGTTTTGCCCAGCTGATGGAGGGCATCCAGCGCCTGTGCACGTCCGACGAGAAAGAGAGCCTGGCACTGCTGGAACGAAGATACCGACAGCGACGGGCGATACGCGGCGGTCCGGTCGGATGTGGAGACACCGATGGTCGGCGACGAAGCTGGAGTTAGTAAAGGTATCTCTTTAAACATCTTTTCTTTTTGGGGTGATGACAAAACCCCAGAGTCCCAGAGTGATTTTTTTGTATCCAACATTTAAAGCGTCGTACACAAGCTCTAGAAATGGCTGGAATCAAGGGGGATTCAGGACCTGGACGGAATTGTTTTGGAATTCCAGCTCGCAGGTGAGGAGCTGGTGTTAGTGGAGGGAGGAAAGGAGTTGAACGGTGAGATGAGCTCCAGCAGAGATGGCCATGAGAGGAACTTGTGGCCAAATCAGTCCAATGTGTCACTCTTAGCCGAGTGCTAAGATATGCTAAGATGCGTCTCGGCTTCACCCCCCAAGAGGGTGAGCGAGTTTGGGACCCTGAAAATCAGGGTGGTCAGGATGGTACCAATGTAGGCAGGAACGAGGGTGCCTTTTGATGTTGCCTCTTCAGGCCTTGCGGAAGAAACTCCACACACAACACATGTGTAAGCCTTCAAAATGGCGAGGCCTGTAGGAAGGGTCGGTCAATGATCAGACCAGTTCAGCTCAAAGAATAGAATCACGGAGGACCAGTCCAGGTGTTGTCTTAGGGAGTGTGAATCAGAGGACCAGTTCAGTCCGATGAAGCATACATGAGCATCTTGTGAATTCCAAGATGCTCATCACTCATCACCTTCCAAGAGAGCTTGAGAGATCTGAAGACCCTGAAGAAGCGTCGTTCAGGTGGTACATCTGGGGGCTGTTATCGCCCAGACTGTGAGTTCAAGCTCTGTTAGCTCACAGCTTGCACCCGAGCTGTGACCCTCACAACGAGGGCTGTGTCAATGAATACCACAGATCTGATCCTGGACGAAAGTGTCGAAAGGAGCCCCGACAAAGCGAAGACCCAGGTGACCCAGGTGACCCAAGACACACGCAGGAGGACAGCTGATGGGATGGGTCATGGGTGCCATGACACAATGCTATCATGTTTTGCTCTCAGATTTTCAGACGTTTGCAGAAAGAAAGCACCGAAAAAAAGAATCCACCGCCGACATCGCGGCCCCCCAAAAGCACCAGTGATGCTGGGATCAGCTGGCAGCGTGGACCAGCGGCGCTGCCAGAATCCGCCGCTGCAGCGCGCAGCACGGGGAAGACCAGCCGATCCAGAAAGGTGCCAAAGGCACCGGATCCGGAATGAATGGAAGGCCGAACGGAAGGCCGGCGTGGCCAAAAGGAAGCTGAGACTTCGGTTCGTTGGTTTTTCCTGATTTCTGGGGAGGTCAACTGGGGTGTTTCCCAAGTTTGGTGGACATGTGATGGGAGGTGTTTGATTCTGATTTGCACTTGGTCTGGTCCGTATTTGCTTGAAGTCAGATGAGAAAAGATCAACAGATATTGCTCAAGTGTGGGACACTATGGATCCAGGTCCAAGCTGTTCCAGAGGTTTTTGGTGCTCTAAAACGCCAACCCACCCGCTTTTCCCAGGTCTCATGACGTCCGTGGTGCCCCAAAAAGCGCGCCCCAAAGCCCATCCTCCTCCTCCCCCGCGTGTTCTTCAAGCCACCGCCGCGCTCGCGTTCCGGCATCGTCATGCGTCTTGCGGATCCGCGCGGCTGAGGAGGACTGCGAAGTGGAGGCGCTGGACCTGAGACTCTTACAGTGCCCTGGAGTCAGCACTGAAGTCTCCGGATCCGCGTCGGATGGGATCACTTAGGAACTCCAAAAAGGTCACTTTGAAGAAGCTCGTGGAAGCAAGACATGACTGAGTGATGTTAGGATATTTTGGTTGCCCTGCCGTGTGTTTATACCCATGAACTGGTGATGGCGAAGGTCCTCCACATCACCAGGGCTCCTGACTCTTTGACGCTGAGGACTAAAACGCAACTGATACAGCCAGCGCAGCCGGCAGCCGCAGCCCCCGCGGCAGCACCAGCACTGCCGGAGACAACGCAAGCGCCACCTACACAACCGCCAGCTTCCACCACACTAGCACCAGCAGCACCCACACAAGCACCGCCACCGATGTCTACAACACCCGCAACTCCAAAAGCAGAAGCATTACCTGAAACAACACAAGCGCCACCTCCCAATCCTCCCACAACACAGGCACCACGTCAAGTGCCCGGCGCTGAAGCACCAGCTGCATCCACGCCGATGCCGTCAACTTCACAATCCCCTCTGCCTGAAACCACACCAGCGCCACAAGCGCCACCAATCACATCTATGGGACCAGCAGCGACAGGCACAGCCGTTACGCCGCCACCACATGAGGCGCCGCCACCCCCAACGCAAGCACCACCACCAGCTGCAACGGAAGCACCACCACCACCAGCTGC